CACACACACACACACACACACACACACACACACGCAAAGAAAAGAAACCGAAAGCTAACAAGTTTGATGGCACAGGACACCCTCGCCACCATCACCACAGAGCTCACGCACACCCGCCGCGGCGAACAATCCCACACCCCCCACCGCGTCTACCACCTCGTCAACCCGACCAAGACCGCCTGGGCCGACCTCGTGCCCGCCATCCAGGCCAAATACCCCCACGTGCAGGCGGTGGGCTTCGACGCCTGGCTCCAGGAGCTGGAGGGCATCCCCTCGCCCAGCGAGGAGGAGGTCCGCGCGAAGCCGGCGCTGAAGCTGCTGGATTTCTACCGCGGGCTGAGTGGGAGCGTGCTGTCGGCGGAGATTGCGGTGGAGCGGACGAGGCAGGGGAGTGAGACGATGGCGAGGTTGGGGGGTGTGACGGGGGAGTTGATGGGGAATTGGTTGGAGCAGTGGGGGTTTTGATTGTTTCGTTTCCTTGCTTGAAGTCTTGATTCGTGGGTGTTGGCGAGAATGCGCAAGGGAGGAGAAACAGTAGGAAAGTGGAAGCTGGGGGTTGGGGGGTTGGCGCGTGTCTAACACATGCATGCATATCTGCGGCCGGCGCCTTTTTTTTCTTTCTGTTAATTTTAGCATAGGGTATAGACTTTAGCGTAGCATAGAATGCATATCTTGGTCTTTTTCGCTTGGATGATACTCGGTGCCTACGTAGGCGATATGAGCAAAGTGAAGATTTTGACTTTGTCCCTGGCAGATTTCCCTTCCTTGCTTCTAGACGACGACAACAACCACACAATCACAACAACGTTCGTAGAACAGAGCCCCAATGAAGGGGGTATATAAAGGCCACATTCCCCAGCACACTCTCCCAGCAATTCAAACCAACCCTCCTACCCAAATCCCAACCAAACCATCCCAGAAAGTCAGTCCCCCCCCAAAAACCGCCTCACGCAGTATAAGGTCAACCCTAACTCCCTAAAAAGACATCAAAATGAAGCTCACCACAATCCTCCTCCCCCTCATCACCACGGCCACGGCCACAACCACCTGCTACAGCGGCGCGCCCACCAGCGAAGGCACCAACTGCCTGAGCAAGCTGGCGATCAAGAACTTCTGGTCGCTGCAGTACTGCAACTACCGGTGGAACGTCAACTACGGGGACTGGGACAAGTGGATCAGCAACAACGCCAGCCACGTGGAGCGCGGCCGGGTGGCCAAGACGGGGGTGTTCGGGGGCATGGAGGAGTGCCTGGATGCCTTCAAGGAGGTCGTCGAGCCGTGCTACGACACCGCGCAGGGGGCGTACCTGACGACGGCGAATGTGAGCCTGGAGGTGAATTGGTGTCAGTGGTGATTTCTTCCCTTTCCTCCCTCTCTCTCTTAAGGAGGGGTATGGGTTGGGGTTTGATGGAGGAGAACGGAAGCGGAGGTGCTTGGGGTTTGTGGGGAGGTGGTGTTTGTTGATAGTCGAGGGGAATGGGATATAGTTATGAAGGTCATGAAGCTTGATGTGATGTGAATGCAGCATACAACAACGGGTTACTTGTGAGATGTTAACAGTGTCATGGACGTGGTATAAGATACACCCTCTACTAAATACACACCACAACTGAACCTATATACACCCCCCCCTCCTTGCTTCCCTACCTCTACCTTCATCTCATCGGTGGCGACACGACTAATCATCATTGAAGTCATAGAAGCTATTCGCCGTCCACCCATCCACCGCCGTATAATCCGCCAACGGACTCGTGCCATGCAGCACCTCGTACCGCTTCCGGCCCTCACAGCTGCCCGTGTAGTTGCCCGCCAAACACCTGCCGCGCAACAGCCGGCCGACCTCCTGCGCGGCCGCGCGGCCCTCGAACCAGGCCCCGTGCAGGTACCCAAAGTAGCCGGCGCTGGTGGCCTCGCCGGCGAACCACACCCGGTCGACATTGGCGCGCAGGTTCTCGTGCATCTCCAGCGTCACGGCGGGCGGCCAGTTGGAGTAGGTCCCGAACGCCCAGGGCTCGGTGGACCAGCGCGGGTAGTGGAAGGCGACGGGGTCCGGGATGGTGACGTTGGGGAACATGGCGCGCAGCACGGCGAGGGCCTCCTGCTTGGTCTGCTCGTCGGACTGGCGCTCGGCGCGGTGGGCGAAGTCCTGGGTGACGGTCACGAAGATGATCCCGCTGTCCTCGAAGAACCCGGGGGTGCTGAGGGACTGCCAGATCGGGTACCAGCCGCGGGTGACGGGGTCGGCGTACAGCAGGTACTGCGTGTCCGCGGGCCAGAAGGTCTCGTTGAACTGGAAGAAGATCTTGGTGTACGTCGCCATCGTGAAGGCTTGGATGGATTCCTGCTTCCATTGCGGCAGCGCCGGCGAGAAGCTGACCGCGTCCGACTGCTGCAGCACCCCCAGCGAGAAGGTGGTGATCGCGTACGCGGCCTGGTAGCAGTCGCCGGACGCCGTGGTGATCGTCACCCCCGTGGTCGTGTAGGTGATGTTCGTGACTTGGGTGTTCAGGTGCAGGCGGCTGTCGTTGCGCCGGAGGAAGGTCGACGCCATCCCCTCGATGATCGTGCTGAACCCCCGCTGGTCGGTCACGAAGTTGTCCTCGTCGCTGAAGCCGTTGACCGTCAGGTTGCTGCCGGCGCAGCCGAAGACGAAGGAGCTGTCGGCCGGGGTGTAGGCGTCTTCGAAGTCTGGGGTGGGTGTTAGTGTGCTATCCAAGGGGGAAGTCGTCAGGCCTCATTTTTGGGGAATTTACCCCAAGACCACCAGTCCACCGCCTGCGCCTCCATGTCTGTCACCTTTGGACGCCACCCGGCCATTGCAAGACCGGTCTGCGCCGTGGAATCCTGCAGGTTGTCCGTCAGGATGACGCCCGCGTTGGCGTTGGCGATGTCGTAGGCGTCGTCGTACTCGTCCAGCAGGTAGGAGTAATCGCTGTAGCCGTTGTGGTTGTAGGTTGACAGGTTGCTGTAGTTGGAGTAGGTGGTCGAGAGATTGTAGACTTGAGCCTGGGACTGTGAGCTTCGTGCGCACTGAGCGTTGAGATTGCGGGCTAACTCACCAATGTCCAGACGGGATTCTGCGGACCCCCAGGGCTCCCAAGACCTTGCACCTGTACGAGTCAGCGAGGTTGCCGACAATACCAAGCGGTCCGGCCTACCCAGTTGCAGCCATTTTCGATGATATACGGCTTGCCATCCTTCTTCTTGCCGAACGGCTGGTGCCACGCCCGTCCTCCAATGCGGTCATTGTACTCGAGAATCAGAAAGTCGTTCATCGAGGCGTTGTGCAGCGCTTGCTGTTGGAGTCAGCTACTCCTCGATTCACTGTATGGTCGGTTGACACCTACCGCAGCAGCAATGCCAGCCATACCACCACCACTACACCAGTCAGTGACGTTCCTCTTCGGCAGCAAGAGGCGACTTACAGAATAGCGACGGTGGTTTGCTTGCATTGGCCCTGATCACGAGCATGAGCCACGTGGGCAGCGGTGGGCTGGACAGCCCACGCTCCGAGAAGTGCCAGCAGGAGAGATCGCATGGTGCGAAGGAGAAAGACGGTGGGTGAGGGGCAGCTAGGAGAGAGAAAGGGAAAGAAACTGGGCAATCGCCAACTTTTATAGCATGCTAAATTCAATAGCTCCGGTGAGCCACCGGGTTCATCGACCTACCCAAAGCTGCAGAAGCTCAACACGGGCTGAAGAGCTCCACCGACGGGGGTGGTCAACTTATCACACTTGCTTATCGGGGTTCTAAGCATATTCGGGCAAGTCCAAGCGGGTCCGGGAAGAACCACGGATTGGAGAATTGAAGATACGCTTGGACTTGGCAGATTTGGGTTGTGGGGGGAGGGAGATTCAGTGAATCTGTGGTGAAGATGAGGGGGATGCCCCTGAAGCGGAAGAGTCGCCGATTGAGATATCGGCCGTGAGAAGAGGTATCAGATCATATTTCTGCATGCTGCATCGTCTGCGAGCTCATATTCCCTGGTTGTGCATCATCATACACCGTCAGCGACAGGTACAGTACAATAAGTCATGAGCTGCAAGAACCTCGGCGATCATCACCACTAGTCTCACTTCTCATCAATTTTTCCCCGCCTCAAACCAGGGCAAACCCAGCCGAGTTCAGCTGTTGCCCGCTTCTCTTGGTCTTTGCCTCGCAAGCTGCTTACCTCTTTGTCCCGTCCAGGGGAAATGCGTTGCTTGTCCCGTTCCTGAGAATTAATTAATTAATCACTAACTATATTCCGTAGATGATTGCTGATAAGAGCTGGCCTCGGAAGAAATCTCCAATCGGCCATTGCTTATCAGCGACGGTCAATCTACGTAATTTGTGGTTATCGCCAGAGGGTTGTTGTTTCTTCGACCGCAATCATATGTTCGGAGCTGTTTTCTTTTTCTCTTCTCTTCCATGAGTCATTTATTCTTTTTTTTCATTGATTCTTCAATTCTTCTGGTTCTCTGCACCGTACTCGTACTGACATCACCCGGTCGCTCGTCGACTCCACACCCATAAAGCGGGGAGTGCGCCCGCCTGTGCCACGGTTCATGGAGAATTGTAGTGTATTTCCGACGAAAACAGTAGTATAGTGGCAATGGCAAGTCAGCTGCAAGTACTGAGCACAAGAGACATTTATCTCCTGCAATCATATCCTCCACATTGTCTCTTGGGGGGTGGAACAGCCTCCACCATCACCACCGTTGACAAGGGTCCTTGGGGTATTGACGAGGCTGTGATTGTCTCACACTCTCAATAGTTAGGCAACAATCAACAATCAACCATCAATAACCAGCACAATTCCACTCTTCTCATCTCCATGAACCCAAACCGTCAAGATATCCTTGACAGGTCCGGCCCACAGCCCCATGCGAGATGACAGACAGCGCCAGCACACGCAGCACACGCCGCCCGCGGGCGCATCCTCGCCGAAGCCCTACAGGATGAGCTCGGCTTGGCGCCACGATTGGGCTTCATTTTATTCGGGGGATTCGACTCACGAGGTACGGCGGCTAACTGCGCCGCCAACAAGGCTGGTCTAGCCTGCAGTAGGCTGTCAATCAAGCCTGTTTGTTTGTATATAAGAAGAGGCAAACCATCACCAGCCTCGCGGTGGGCGCCTAGTTCTGGGTGTGCCTTCAACCCTCCGCGCGCGATGGAGAAACTCCGCACCAGCTCGTCGGTCGACCGACCGGAGACGAGGATTTTCGAGGAATGCGGTAAGTTTTCCTCTTCTTTGCTTTTTGGCAAATCCAAAACTGGCTAACCAAGTCACAGAGCCAGATGACTGGGTAGAACGGCGCATTTCGCTGCTTGAGTTAGATGCCGAGGTCACACTCTCCCTCCACACAGCTCAATTGAGCAAACAATACTCACAATCTCAATAGACCCCGCGCTACTCGACAATAATGTATTCATTCAATTCTGTCCCACTCCTGCACCCACCAGCACCCTGACATCAAGAAATTAGCTTCACCTCGACCACGACCCTTAACGAGCCCTCGCACCTGCCCCTCTTCCCCGACCGCTTCCAGCCCATCATCACCGAAGACCTGAACGGCTCCTTCGACTGCGAGGACATCCCCAACGAAGCCGGCCAATTGATCCAGCACAGTAAGCAGCCATAACCCCGCACACCCCATTCATAAACCCTTCCCACCACGACAGAATAACAGAAATAAAGGATCATGGTCCACCTACAAAATCAAACGCGTCGTCGAACCCCACAAATACCACTGGACGCAAGCCACCTGCTACGTGCACTGGGACCCGACCACCAGCCACCAGACCGTCTACTGCATCGACCTGCCGCTGGCGGCCCGCACATTCCTGAAAGCCTTCACCCCGCCCGCCCGCCGGCGCGCGCACGACCCGTACGCCTGGCACGCGGCGTTCGCGACGGCGTTGATCCCGGAATACGACCGGTCGATATGGGGGTTACGGGATCTGGTGCGGGAGATTGAGAAGGTTAGTCAGCCCTTCCTGCACTTCAAGGACCGAAAAAAAAAAAAAAAAAAAAAAAAAAACAAGCGCTACAAGACCCCAGCCGTCCGTGATGCAATACTTATAGAGTTGAGGATAGGGCCGGCTCAACCCCACGGCCCTGACGCCGGATTTCTTCCCGCATCTGCACGACATCGCGCGCCACATCTTCCACGCCAACGAGACCCTCGAGGTAGCCCAGCATACCGTGGAGAGTTTGGTGAGGGAGCAGATTCGGTCGGCGGGATTGTATTCCCCAGCAGCAGCGGCGGCGGCAGCAGCAGCAGCAGCAGGAACAGTAGCAGCAGGGATACCGAATCCCACTCCCACTCCCACTCCCACTCCCACCTACAACGCCCCATCGCATTATGATCACAATCACAGCTACAACCACAGCCACTGCGCCCCAGCACCATCCACAAGCACGCACCTCTCCACCCTCCAGACCGAACGCGCTCTCCGCGCCCTCGCCAAACAGCTCCATGCGCTGCACACGCGCAGCCGCTCGCTCACGGAGCGGTTGCACAATGAGATCAATCTGGTGCGTGGAGGCCTTCCCGTTCTGCCTCTTTTCTTTCTTTTTTTTTTTTCCGCAGTCTGTGCTGATCTTTGCACTGGTCTTATCGCTAACCAGAATGTGGGGGTTAGGGATTCAACCTCGTCTCTCAGCAGTTCGGCCACGACACCAAGTCCGATTCGGCGATGATGAAGACCATCGCCGTGGTGAGTATGGTCTATCTGCCGGGGACGTTTGTGTCGGTACGTGGGTCTTTGCTTTTTACACATTAAGCTTTGAGAAGGAGAGTTGTTCTGGAGCTGATGGCTGACGGCTTAGGGCCTCTTCGGGACCAACTTCTTCAACTTCACCGACGGCGACGAACACACCTGGTTCATGGCAGGCTCGTTCTGGTTGTACTGGGCGGTGACGATCCCCTTGACCCTCGCCACCATGGCGGTCTGGGCTTGGTGGCATTACTTCCTGCCTGCAAAGAGAAGAACCAGAAAGATGCCGGTGAGACAGAGGGCGGAGACGGTGTGAAGGATACGCAATGCCCGGGAGGGGTTACTGACGGGAGCTATGAAGTGATGACTTGGATGATTGGGGTTGGAGATCATAGACAGTGCATTGGGTTACTCTGTAGGATCGATCCGGGCGGACATGATGTATAATGAGTTATGATTATAAGGTGTTAATGATAGTCTAATAGCTAATTTAAAATGGCAGTGATTCAGAGACACATGAGACAACTGCTGAATCGGGAGCTCGCAAGTAGCTGGGGTCGAATCCTGAAGAGCGACCGGCTACTAGTCGCTACAGTCCAGGTCCAACTAATGGCAAGACTCAAGATTCAGTCGTAGACCGGCACACAGGCCGGTCGGTTTAGGGCTCGCTGGCCCGTCGAGGAGGGATCATTAGATCCTCTCGGGTATCAAATTGTGCATGGGCAAAGGAGGGTTTCAGGCCACCTCATCCGGCGGGACTGCTTTCCTCCGCCCCATCGGGGGATTCGTCGACTCCCGACATTGGGGTGGTGGCTAGTGGTAACAGAAAAGTTGTAAAGAGAGAGGCGGTCTCCACGGGCAAGATCACCCCTTGAGCCTGGGCTGTGCTGCGCACGATCCCGAGCAGATTCCTCCCACCGTCCCACCGTCGTGTTAAAGATTTGGCGGCAACGGAAAGGGTGATAAACGCCTCTCGGTTGTCGGGCTCGTCTAGCCCATCCAACAGAGCGAGAAGAGCCCCCAACAGACAGGAGCTATTGCTGACCGGCATCCGCTCCACGCCCCAGCACGAGCGATGAATGCATGTCAGATGGGCAATGTTTCGCGCCGCCGAGAGCCGCACAGCGCGGGCGTGGAGCCCAACCCGGTCGGTCGGCGAAGGCGGTGTGCCGGATAGAACCACTCCATACAGCGTCAGGACAATCAGGTGGTAATACATGCTACATCCCTCGGTAAGTTACCAGTCGAACCAGATCGAATACCACGGACTCATGGACTATGGACTCACTGCAGACACAGGATATGAGGCGCTTCGAGTCGCGTGCCTTTCAAGCATGCAGGCCAGTGGTCTGCGCAATGTTGGAGGTGTTCATGCAGAACAGTTACCCGCGCGGCAAGATCGGCGCATGGCGGAAGCTCGAATAATCGAGTCACCTCGTAGGCGATGGGAGTCAAGTTCGAGAGAGCGATGAATAGACAGTCCACGTGACCAGGGATGCCAGCGACCGGGCGTGGATAGGGCTGCCATATGTCATCTGGGCCGCCCTCATGGCGCAATAGTGGGAGCCGGTGGCGGTCGGGTAAGGGTATCGACGGGCGGCTCCGGTCGGTCAGGGCATGGATCCTGGCCGACGCGTCAGTGGAGCTCCTTCATCAGGACCGGGCGCATGGGGGCGATGGAAGAGGAGGAGGCAAAAGTCAGAATTCGGGCGAAGGGGCCGTACGTGGCGACGTTGAATAAACCCCAGACGGTCCGATTCAGCCCATGAACCATCCGCAAGGTATCCAGGTCGGGATTAGTGGCGAGGGTGGAGCTCTCCTGCAAGAGTTCTTGCAGTGCGTAGGCAAGCTGGTTGCGATAGATCCAGCCCTGCCGGTCGCGACCGGTCCGAGCAGCACTATGTGGAAGGTCAACCCAGGAACTCGGTTGGAGGTGTCGTCCAAATGACCTACCACGACCATAAAATCCCCAAGCCCTGCACGGTCGGCAACGTGATCCGCCCGGCTTCCTGGTCGAGTAATCGTTTCGCTTCCTCGTAGAAATGGACGCCCTTGGAGGCGGCATCGCCGGGGATGGTGAACGCGTCCGGATAGTCCGAGTAGGCCTAACCTGATTAGCTCAGCTCGGCGTAAAGCCACTGCACCATGAGACCTGTGCCAACCTACACATGCGTCGGCGAGGATACTGTTGACCAAAAACGGAGAACAGAACCGCCCTGACCGCTTGCCAGTCTGCATCTCCCGCAAGAACAAATCCCGATCGATCCAGTTGCGGAAGGGATGCGACCAGGTAAACCAGAGCGATATGAGGTGTGAAACAAAATGGGAGTCGGGTACAACAACGGTCCAAGGATGCGCCGGTACGAGGTACCGTGGCGAGTCGGCGGCACGTTTGGCTTCGAGCATGCGGCGCATAGGCCGCGAGCGGTCGGAGGATTGAAGATGTTGGACTTCGCGACTCAGTTGAGCCAAGTCGGGCGTCAACTCCAATTCCGACTGCGGGATATGGAGGTGAATGTGCTGGCGGATTTCGTCGAGAGTGGGATCGGTACGGATGAGGTCGATGAGGGGCATGACATAGCCATTGCCACTTTCGCGAATAGCACCCACGAGGCGGACCAGCAACTCCTCCTTGTCGGCCAATTCATCGATTTTGCGTTTAAGAGCGCCCCGGCGGCGCTTGTCGGCGCTTTTGTCGAGAGTGCATTCGACATTGCTTTTGACGCAGCTGGCACAGGGTACGGATCCGGTACACTATAGTCCGCCGGTCGGTTAGTGTGCGTGCGAAGGGAGACGGGAGAAGGGAGAAAGGGAGAGGGGCAAAGGCGAGAAATAATGGAGGAGGATGAGCCGCGCACCTTTAGTTTCCGCGCTTTGCAGGCGGCACAAGCAGTACCAACATTCTTTCTGCGCTGGTGGTTGTCGAGAGCAGCATTGGCACCAGGAGGGGCCGGAGCCAACGGGCGCGACTTAGTATCGGACATGATGAGGATCCATGACTGAATCGCACGGGCAGAAGCAGAAGGTGGGGAGAAGAGGAGGAGAAAAAGAAGAAGCAAAGGGACAACGGCGAGAGAATATGGAGCGAAGGAAGGGGAGGAAGGAGGAAGGAGAGGTCAAGGAGGAAGTGAAAGGGTCGAGGATAACAGGGCGCAAGAATCGCGAAGATAAGAAGAGGAAGAGGGCAGGATAGTAGAAGAAAGAGGAGAAGGAGAAAGAGGGGAGGAGGGGACCGCAAGAGGGAAAAGATGGAAATGCATGAATGTGTGAATGGGTGGTGAGTGGTAGAAGTGTCATTAGTGGTGGTGGTGTTGGTTTAGTAAGTAACTACGGAAAAGTAGTTCAGGTTGGGAGGTGGAGGAGTAGGAGTGAGCAGCCTCAGAATGGCAGATCCCGTGCAGGAGAGGAGAGAAAGCAGGTCGATCCAGCGCGAGGGAGGGGGGAAAGAGGAATGACGGCGGACGATTGGGTGGTGGGAACATCCCTTCCACTCGATTGGGACCGAAGTGGATAATAATGGATTGAAATGGATGGACCTCCGTTCAAACAAAAAGGTGGAGGAGGGAAGGAAAGTGGATCGACCCGCTTGATGCTAGATGCTCATGCTGATGCTCATGCTCATACTTCCAGTTCCTGTATAAATGGGAGAATACTCTGTACTTTGTGTAGACAATCGACAATATCGATAATCGACAATAGACAATAGACAATAGACAACAATAGACCAACACGGATCATGCAGGCGAAGAACTATTGACTACCTGGTAGGTATTAATTTAAATTGCAAAGACTCAATTCAGTCACAACTACAGTTAGCCTCTTCTCAACTTGTACAGTCCATACGGTAGTATGTGGTAAATTTGATCCATCATGGATCATTGTCGATGCATGCTGCTGGATTAGGCAAGTAGCACCATCGCCGCGGGCGGGCATTCATCATGGGTCCATAAACCAGGGTTCCCCGTAGTCGTACGTCTGAAGCCAAGCAGGCTGGAAAAGAACATCCCAAGTCCATCCATCCATCCATCCATCCATCCATTCATTCGCTAGGATAACTCCTTCTCAGCTGGGAACTATTCCCGAGATGATTCCTTCCTGCCGGCCGAACCGAATCAGGAATGGGGGGCAAATTCCCGAAACCGGCAATGCTGGCGCACGCTGTTGCATCTGACTGGTGATTTCCCAGTCACGGGACTACTACCTAGTAGACGGCCCGACTCCACTAAGCCACTTTCAGGAATCGGCCTGTCGCCTACTATCTCCGCTGTTTTTGATTGGGTGGCAGATGGTGCCTGGCTATCTCCGCCGGCCGATCGGGCTTGCCAACAAGGTTGAAAGGTAAAAGTTAGGGAACAATCGAACTGATTCATTCGATATTCATCAAATTCATTCAAATTCCTAGGCGATCGTCACTCCCACACGGTCTCGATCCGAGAGCAGAAAAATGATGAGGCCCACTACGTTAGTAGTCAGAGCCTCAAGCCTGAGGACGAGAGACACTGAGAAAAAACAGGTTTTTCCCCCTCTTACCCAAGTCAGCGAGCAGTGCAGCGACCTATCGAGGTCTTAGACCGGTCGGATCTCAACTCTCTCGACTTGCGCACCGAAAGAGACTCCCCTCTTTTCACTCCTAGGCCATGGGCTATAGTAATTTGGTAGCTCGGGCTTGCTCGGCACTTGGACGCTATATCGACTTTTTAAATTGGGGCCAACACCGGCATTCACTCCTACGTACCTCATCATTCGCCCATCGTGGTTCATGCTGCCTGCCGGAAATCATTTCCTATGGCCGCCCGGACCCAACAGTCCCCATAAAGTATCAGCCACCAGGTGAGGCCTAACTCGATACGGGCCAAAGCGCCCTAAAACCACCAGATGCGGTGGCCACGGCGATCTTGGTGTTCCGTTCCTGCGTGGAAATTTGGAGGGATTTGATTTCCGTGAGATTTGTGCCGATGGGTGGCAAAAGGGGATGCTCGTGACAAATACTCATAATTAGTGTTATTATTAATGACGCTCATGTTACATAGAGTACGGAGTACTGGTAGAGCTGAGTCCTCATACGAGTAAGGCGGAAGTGGCGAGGCGCCGGCTAGGCGCGGCAGCGTTGGACGCGGACCTGAAAGACCTGGAAGACCTGGATTGTGGCCTCAGGCTCCAAGGTCACATGTTATGTGTTTACACCGGCTGTGGCTTCACATCCACCACTTGCTTCTTCTCCCGCGACTCCTCTTCCTTGGACACCACCGAGCGTCGCTCCTCCTCCTCTCCTCCAAACGACCGATCCATCGAATCGTCGCGCCAAAAGTCTTTCTTACCTCGCGCCGCCCGCTTCAACCACGGAGGGAACAGCCCTCCTGGAATCCGCCACGTCCATGGCTCACTCTCGTCCAGGTTGGGCGGCACCAACCGCCCGCCCGTCACCTTCGCCAGCACCCACGTGATGCCGTTGATCGTGATGTAGCTGCAGATACCGGCAATCAACCCGTACGCGATACTATACGTGAACGGCATGATGGCAATCGTCAAGAATGCCGGAATGGCATCGCCGTGGTACTTCCAGTTGATCTGCGTCGCCGCCTGCGCCATCAGCGCCCCGACGATGACTAGCGTGCAACCAGTCGCCCAGGGAGGGATCGAGGCAAAAATTGGCGAGAAGAACACCGAGATGAAAAAGCACAGGCCCGTCATGCAGGATGTCAGCCCCGTCTTGCCTCCTTCTGAGATACCGGCTCCACTCTCCACAAAAGCCGTCACGGGCGGAACTCCAAACAGAGACCCGATCGAGATCGAAATGGCATCCACCATCTGGGGACAATTAGCGTCGGAGCGCCTAGAAAGAACGACTGAGGATACTCACATAGGCAATAGAGCTGCCCTCGAAGTCCTGCGTGACCGGATCAATCGTGCCTGCATAGCGCGCCATCGAATACAGCGTTCCCGTCGTGTCGAGAATGTCGACATACTGCTGCTGTTAGTCGTGTGCCCTCACCAGCCGTCAAGGAATATTCACATACCAAGAACGAGATGAAAGCCAACCCGAACTTCGCGCCGTGACCACTGATGTTCCACTCCTGCGCGACGAGCGTGCGCGTGATGGGATGGAAGGTCACCACCTTCTTGAAGAAGTCGAAACGGCTGTCTCCGATCGAAGAATGAGGGAAATAGGTGACATCAGTGGGGCGGGGCCACGAGATGATAGAGACAAGGAGGATACCCATGATGATAGCACCCTTGACTCTGTACATCATGAGCACTACGGTGAGCACACCGCCGCAGAAGATACCGATCCACATGGTCGGGCTACGCATGACGGCCGAGGAAGGACAAGCACCAGTGGTCGCATCCTTTAGGCTCTCAGTACATCCTGCCAGATCGATGGGCACACTGGTTCCGCCCGTCACAAGTCCGATACCCGCACTATAAGTGAGGCCGATCAGGGTCAGATACAGCCCGATACCCGTGCCGGTGGCCAGCTTGATCGAGGCAGGTAGCGCACGGGCCAGCCATTGTCGGATACCCAACAGCGTCAGAGCCAAGAAGACGAAACCTTCCACAAAGACGGCCGTCAAGGCGATTCCATAAGGGATCAAACCCGATCCGTGATATCCGACCACCGTGTATGCGAAATAGCTGTTGAGACCCATGCCTGGGGCGAGCGCGACCGGAAGATTGGCGAAAAGTCCCATGCAGAAGGTCGACAGGGCCGAGATGGCAGCGGTCGCGGTAACGACGTCGCGGTTGACCTCCTCGACGCACAGGAGGTACTCCGTGTTGGTTGCGCAGAGATCGGACATGCTATCCGCGGGACAGACGCAGGGACCACCCGATTCGGAGGTGATGGTCGCGTTGACACTGATGATGTACGCCATCGCGAAGAAGGTGGCGAGACCGGCGCGGAGCTCGGTGAAGAAGAAACTACCCTTGCGTTCCTTGGGCTAAGGGAGGGATCAGTCACGCTCGCGATGCACCGCTGTGCATCCACAAAGTGCCACCACTTACATGGCCCGAGTTCTCCAACCGGAACCATCTCCCCACGGGGCTGCGAGCCACCGCGAGATTGGTTTCATGCACCCAGTTCTGCAAACCCATGGTGCAAGGCGACTGTCAGTCTATTGCAAGACAATCTGCTGCGAGACAAGCTCGAGGAATGAAAAATAAAAAAAAAAAACAAGACAACGCTGACAGCTTTCCCCCCAAGCCCGGGGAACCAGGGATTTTATGTGGTCTGTCAGGCAGAAGCGGCGAAAAAAATGTCGCGGGAGCCGGGGAACGAGGCCAAGTGATAAGCACCCGCACGCGATCGGGAAAGCAACGTGTGGGAAATTTTCTCCTTATCATCTTGGCAGCTTGGCAAAGGAATGGATTCAGACTGGACTGGCTGCTCTGTCCATGGGTGGCGTGCTTGGCAATTCGCCTCCAGGCAATCAGCATCCTTGCAGTGAATATCTCCTGATTGTTATCGGCTAGGGTTACTTCGCTAAGCGGCGGAAAAACTGCTGGCCAGCCTTGGCAACCGCCGGAAAACTGCAGGCTAAGAAGCAACTAAATGAGCAACCAAATGAAGTAGGTTTCTAATCTGTTACGGAACATTTTCACGTGTGCTTATCAACAAGCTTTCTCCTGGAAGACTACGGGCGATGGGGCAAATTTACTCTTTCGCCGCAGTGCTGGGCCATACAGGATGAACCCCAGTGGGATGGGAATCATGATTGCGGCGAGGCATCCCAGTAAGGTGCCTGCCCATTGCACCCCCAGGTTGACGAACATCTGCTTGGCGAACAAGGGAAAGCATGCGCCCACCGCCGACCGGAGGATCGTGTTGGCGGCGAACACCGAGGCAGCACTATAGTAGCTCTCGTCAGCTGATGACTTGCAGGGATGCAGGGACCTCCTCATCTACCCACAATTGCAGATAAGAGTCAATAAGATAGTTGAAGCACTGCAAGAAGATGCAGTAGATTCCGAAGCCGGTGAATACTCCAGAAGCGGTTGGGGCCATCCAGTGGATCGACTGTGTCCAGCCCGTCCAGCCGTACCTGTCGCAGCCTTCTTTAGCTATTGTTTCCAACTCGGTGATTACTGCGGGGGGGGGGGGGGGCCTTCCCTTACCAAAACAATCCAATTGTGAACGCCGCACCGCCTACAATCGCCGGGGGTAATCTCCACTCCGGCACCGGGACGTCTCCGTTGGCAATCAACTTCTTCGTGTAGCTCCCCTGACTCATTAACACGTATGCCCCTCCGGCAAATTCGCCAATAATCAGCCCGATGAAGGGTAAACTGCCCACCCCCAAGTTCATCCCATGAATCCCCTGAAACACCACGGGGTACGCCGACAGCAGCGCATACATCAGGCCATAGATGAACGACATGTACAGGGTGACCAGAAACACAATCGGCTCGGTAAAGAGCATCCGAAACGGGCGGCTAAAGTTGACGGTGATCAGCTCGCGCAGATCGATCTCCACCTCGTCCTGCTTGGCGTGGATGCCCCAGTTCCGGGTCTGCCGGCGCACAATCGCCGCCTTCTGCTGCAGGAGCGCGGGCGCGTACGTCTCGCGGTAGAAGAGGAGCAGGAGCGCGAACCCCAGGAAGCCCATGATGCTGGCGATGTACATGGTCCAGCGCCAGTGCAGATAGCTCATGGTGATGAACCCGCCCGTGAAGGGCGACGCGAAGGGCCCCACGAACACGGCCATGGCGAACATGGCGATGGCGATCCCGCGCGTGCGGTTGTTGTAGATGTCCGCGAAGGCCGCGGGAACGATGGCCAGCGGGCTGGCGGCGAACAGCCCCGCGAAGAACCGCGTGAGCATGATCGTCTGCACGTCCTTGGCCGTCGCCGTCCCCATGGTGAACACGCTGTACCCGAAGATGCCGGCAGTGATGGGCCAGCGGCGGCCGTAGAGTTCGGATAGGGGCGCCCACAGCGTCGGGCCGGCGGCGAAGCCCAGGACGTACAGGGTCACGCCTAGGACGGCCACTTCGGTGCTGATGTGGAACTGTTCGCTGATGGCGGTGACGGTCGAGGAGAAGATGGCCGAGGCGAAGGAGGAGACGAACGTCACGTAGGCTAGGATTGCGGAGAGGAGGATTCTGCGGGATGGTTAGGGTTTGTGTTTTATGGAGTGCAGCAGCAGCTCAGACAAGCTCGCACCCCGATCCATGCTAGTATTTGCAGGGTCTAAATATCACTCACTTCGTTCCCGTGGCCCAATTATGCGGATGCATCGGATCCTTCTCGTCGAGGAACTCGACGACATACTGATCCGGGTCCGGGAGATGCGGGGGAAACTCCTTCCCACCGCCCATGGGGAGCCATTGCTCGCGCGGCGTCCGGGTGCTGCCTCTGCGGGAGCCGACGGTTGATTCATGGGTGAGGCGGAGGGATTGGATGCGCGAGATGGCAAGGTTGCTCTGGGTCTGATGGAGGCTGGTGCTGGGGGTGCGCACGGGTTCGAAGCTGAGGTCCTCGGTTGGGATGGTGGAGAGGGAGGAGGCACTGGAATGCGGGGAGGAAGGCATGGTGATTTGGAGGGGGAATGCGATGCGGAGATGGGCATGATTGCGATAATTGCGATTGGGTTGCATTTAAATGATGCCCATGGTGACTGGGAGAGCAAAGTGGTGGTGTCATCATTGCGGGAGAGAGCCACGGTTCGATCCCAAAGGGACGGTGTATGTAACATGAGGGCTGATCTTGGTACGGATGAGGGCTGCACACAATATATCTATCTATCCAGAACGAAGCTATACTCAACATCCCAGCTCCTCCTCTCCCACAGTATATACCTACTAAGTATTCTATAAACACAACCCATCTACCGCGTAGCAGCCAAATACCCGTCCAACGCGGCATAAATCGCCTTAACATACTCCCTGGCGCGCTCATTCTCCGCCAACCCCATATCCATCTTGTTCATGGTGTATGTGACGGTGACCCCCCTTTCAACATCCATCAGCGCCAACGACCCGCCCCAACCCGTCCAATAGCCCACCCTCCTTCCATCAGGCAACCAACTGGGCCCCGAAGGCCTCGCCATCGCCATGCCCACCCCAAACGTGACCGGAGCGCCCAGCACCAAATCCACGCCGGACACCTGCTCCTGAAAGATAAGATCGACCGTCTCCTCCTTGAGAAACCTTTTCCCGCCCACCACGCCCTTGAGGGTCACCACCTCCAGAATCCGGTTAATCGCCCTGGCATTCCCAAACCCATCCGACGCCCCCATCTCCGCGTGCCGGAACCCCGGCGTGGCCGGACTATCCACGCCCACCGCTCCGGCGGCACTCGATATCGCCCGCGCGGCCACACTCCCCGGCTGCAACACGGGCATCTCCCACTCCGCCGGTGGCGGCGGCACCAGCGCCGCGATCCGCGCCCACTCGCGCTCGGGGACATCGAGAAAGAACCCGCCCGCCGCGCCGAGCGGCACCACCAGCTCGCTGTGGATGAACTCGCTCAATCCCCGGCCGGTGAACTGCCGAATCAGCCCGCCCAGCAGGAATCCGTACGAGAGGATGTGGTACCCCGAGGCCGTGCCGGGCTCCCACCAGGGGGACTGGGCGATCAGGCGCGCGGTGCAGGCCTCCACGTCCAGGATCTCCGAGGCGGTGGGCCCGGGGCTGTCCCACCCCGCCAGGCCGGAGGTGTGGCTGAGGAGATGGCGCACTTGGATGCGCGGCGAGGCCGTGAAGGCGGGCCAGTAGTGGCTGACGGCCGTGGTCGCGGAGAGTTGGCCGCGGTCGATGAGGAGGAGCGTGCTTAGCGCCGTGATCAGTTTCGTCAGGGACCAGACGGGCACGAGCGTCGTTTCTTCCCAGGGTGCCGGAGGGGTGGTGGAGGTGCTGCCGCCCCACAGGTCGAGGACGGTTTCGCCGTGGATGCTTACGCAGAGGGAGGCGCCGATCTCGGTGCCGGTTTGCAGGTGCGTGGAGAAGAGGGCGCGCACGGCCGCGAAGGCCGGGTGCGAGGTTCCCTTGACGGTGGGGGTGGGCATTTGGGTGGGTTAGATGGGTTGGGTGGTGATGAGAGGGGGCAGGAGGAGAGAAGAAGAGGATGAGGGAAGGAAGGAAAGAGAGGAGGCGAGGAAAGGGGGGAGGAGATAGAGATATTTGTATAGGGTTCTGCCTGGAGATGATGTATATGTGTACTGTATGGAATGACTGACTCAATGCATCCTCAAGGTTAACTTGTTGTTTATCTGGGCTGAGGTGAGATTAGACGAGGATCTGCCTCGGTTTATCCTAGTTCGGGTTAGCTGGGCTACGAGGTAGTGTCTAGTCCTAGTGCCACCATGATTCAAGCTACTCTTCTGTACTTACTGGACATCGGGTTGGGTGGGAAAAGAATGTTGATGACTCCATACTATATACATGTACATCTAGACCCGGCTCTTAGCCATCTCGACGGCATCGTCCAGCTGACCATCCTCCACAGCTTTGGTCGGCTGCGCATCCCCCAGCCTCAAATCCTTCAACGACAGACTAATCAAGAACCCGAACCCGGCAACAGCGGTGTACAGTACCCAGACCCAGCTCAACGCCTTCGTCAATGCATCTAACACCACCTCCCGCTCCTCGCCCTTGGGCAACATCTTCACAAATGCCTCCGCCGCGGTGGACGCGGCCACAATCTCCTCCGCCAGGGTCTCGCCTAGCACCGCCGCCATCGTTCCCTCCTTCGTGCTCACCACATGGCCATACACCACCGATGCAACCACGACCGACACCGCCGAAGCGAGCTGCCGGATGAAGGAGAAAGTCGCCGTCCCTCGGCCCAGCTCCTCCGGTTTGGTGTTCGCCTGCAACGCAATCAGCGTCGCCTGGAAGTTCGGGCCAATGCCCAGCCCCACTACCACCTGGAACAGAATGATCCGCGGCCACGAAGCGTATGACTGAAGGTCGATGTAGAGTCCAAAGCCAAGGGTCGTGAACAGCATCCCCAGACAGATCGCCTCGCGCGATCGGCCGGTACTCCGCATGTAGAATCCCCCCAGCCCGGACGAGATCGAAAGGGCGACGACGAGCGGGAGCAGGTACACGCCGCTCATGAGGGAGCTGGCGAGGAGGACGTTCTGGAAGTAGACGGGCAGATAGAAGCACCCGCCGATAAACACGGTGGCGTGGCAGAAGTTGATGAGGAGGATCGTCAGGTTGTAGGGGTTGGAGAAGATGGTGATGGGGATGATGGGCGTGCGGGCGAATTTCCACTCATGGAGGAGGAAGAGACCGGCCGTCACTAGCCCGAACACGATGAGGCAGATGATCGTGGCGGACGACCAGGGGTACTGGGAGCCCCCGAATTCGAGGCCAAAGAGGAGCATAAGTGTGGCGCCAACGATCAGGAAGAGGCCGGTCCAGTCGATGGCACGAAGGCCGGCTGCGAGCGGGGTGAGCGGGGCGGTATCGAGTTTGAGGAAAAACAGAAGACCGAAGAAGGCGAGGCCTCCGATGGGAACTAGATGAGGTTAGCGATGTAGCGATGGCGGTGCCACGAGCACGTACGGTTGATGTAAAAGCACCAGCGCCAAGTCGAGTAGGTGGTGAAGGCGCCGCCGATGATGGGTCCGATGGCACCGGCGATAGCCCAGGTTGCCCCAAAAATGCCTAGATACGCCGACCGGCGGCGCACATTAAACAGATCGGATACGCAAATATTGGCCAACACAGTAATGCCTCCGCTCCCGACTCCTTGTATGGCGCGGCCCGCGATGACCATGGCGACGTTAACGGCCACGCCGCAGATCAAACTCCCTCCCAGGAAGAGCACCACGGAGATGATGAGAATGGGCTTTCGGCCCCAGATGTCGCTGATCCGACCCCACAGTGGGACACACGATGCGTTGGCAAGAAGGTACGAGGATGCGATCCAGGAGTATGCGCTGTCGGAGGCTTTGAAATGGGCCACCATTTCTGGTAAGGCCGTCGAGACAATAGTCTGTGAGGGGTAAGTGTGTTATCCATGATACTCGAAGACAAAAGCCTTACAATGTCCAATGCTGCCAGAAAGACGCATAGCTATGCAAGCCTGTTAGCGATTGTTACATAGGGTTGTGCTCGCACAGGTGCTCGTACACTCAGCGCTGTCATCACGACAGCGATTCTCTGTTTGCTCTGATGGTCGGCCGGCGAATCATCCTCCGCTGTAATTGGAGGGACATCTTTGCCCACGTTTGACTCCAATAAATCGTGCTCATCTTCCATTTGCTGGTATAGACGGGGAGACGATCCTTCCTCCGTCTTGACAGCCATGGTCGGGGTTTAGGGGTAAAAACCTGGAACGAATGAAACTGAAGGATAAAACGAACGACAAAACGAGGGACGATTGCTTAAGTGAATGAGTGAAAAATATGATGGCGATATTAAAGTCAAGAAACATTGACACAAGTGTCTGGGAAGGCCAACCCCCGCGACAGCGACAGGCCACGAGGGTCGAGAAGTTTCGGATAGCCGAAGCTCCTTGACAGCCCATCTCGAAGCATGAGGAGCCCCACTGGCTCGATCGAACCTGGTGTTAAACCTCCCGATTACGGATGGCGATTGGTGGTATCTGCCTAGGCCCACTAGGTGTATATCCACCCGACGTCATTTCATGGCGCCTGGGAATGTTTTCCAGGCTAAGGCTGGGGGATATCCTTAAGGGGTAAATAGGCGAGTTGCCTCGGGTAGTAATGAGGAAAGTACGTGTAAGGGGGCAGTCGGGAGAGGACTCATCCGCCGTGGTAGGAGGACTTTCGACACAGGAACATTGCGTCCCATGGTGCAGCAGATGTCCGCGGGCACTAGATGTGTGTTCCTCGAATCTTCGATGAAAGAATCAGAATCAGAAGGAGCCGACGGGCATGGAGAAAGTGAGGGAATCCACAGAAAAGACTTTCGGCTCAGTAGCCATGGCTTGCCCGGTGGAGCACGATGAACGGGCAAAGCCTGACCAATCCTAGGTACGTAGCTGAATATTGGAGTGTGAAAAAGTCTCCAGGCTGGACATCTTAGGCAATGCTCTTTCAAAGAGTGATGGTGACTGAGCTGGTCAGGGAACCTTTAAGATGGCAGACAAAAGGTAGGTAGATATTGAAGATGAAGATGAAGGTATTCGGGTGGGTGCATAAATCCAATTGAAGTTGGGGGTGAGTCAGCAATCCTGGATCTATGCAGCACGTGACACCTCTCCTCAGTCAGGTGACTACCCCGCGAGTTTCTCCGACCGCCTTTTGCATGGTGGCTGCCTGGTGGCTGCCTGGGTGCCTGATCAAGTCTTATCGATAAGGCTCTAAGCGATTGCCAACACAACAAACAAATTCACCTGCTGCCTTGGTCCATCACCGCACATGCCATGCCATCATCATTTACTCTCTTCACTCTCTTCCATGACATCTCTCGGGCATCTTAAGAGCAGTCAAATTGAATCTACTCTGTTTCAATCTTGTTGCATTCGCTTCTGAATGTCTGTGACTGCCTTCGCTATTTTATCTTTTCTGTCCCCCCAGCATACTCACCACGTCGGTTGAATGCCTGGCGTCCATCAAAACACCTCCACTACTTCACGGGGCCGGCGACCACCTCTAGTAGTCCATCCAACCTCGTCTTTTCGCGAAAGCCTTATCTGACAATTATCAACCATCAACTCTCTCACTCCGAGCTCCCCTCCCAATCTCTGTCCAGCCTACCGAAGACCAAGATGCTAGCAGATGCCGATATAACCGCTTTGGACAGCCACCTAGGCACTATTGTCCGCGAAAACCAACAACACCACGACAACCTGCAAAACTTGCTCTCCAAGTTCCAAGAGCTGCTCGAAAGCTACAACAATCTGAAGAGTGATTACGAGGAGGAAAAAGAGGGACGGGAGCGTTACAAACGGTTGGCGAGGGGGCAGGTATGCGGGCTCCAGCTTGTGCTTGGCCAGCAGCTAAAGGGAAATACCTAGGAACGGAACCCGTTTGTGTTGGTCCTAGTTGACGGTGATGGCTACCTGGTATGCGTGCATATTCTCTGTCATGTACGGCACCTGACTGACAAGGGGCCTAGTTTAAAGAACACCTGATCAAAGCTGGAAGCGATGGAGGTATCACGGCTGCTCGACTCATGCATGACTCAATTCGCGAGTTACTACATGACCGCCTTGGGAGTCACGCGGACCAATGTCGGATCATGGTTCGCATCTATGCCAACGTTCTGGGTTTATCCAAAGCACTGGCACGCTCCGGACTTGTGGGCCATGAAGCCCGATCGTTATCGCCTTTTGTAGCCAACCTGACAAGCTCCCAAGATTTGTTCGACTTTGTCGATGCAGGGGACAAGAAAGAAGCGGCTGACTACAAGATAAGAGGTCAGCCTGTCCCCCCATCTGCCACGTCCTGTTCGCTGACCGAGATAGAAATGTTTCGGATGTTTGCTGACAACAACCAATGCAAGCACATTTTCTTCGCCGGGTGCCACGATGCCGGGTACCTAAATTTACTAACCCCCTACCGTGGACGAACAGATCGTATTACCCTTCTTAAAGCGGCCGGGTTTCATAATCAGTACAATACTCTAGACCTGCCGGTCAGAGAACTTCCGGAGGTCTTCATGTCGACACCCTTCGCTGGTGTTCACGCAAGGGAGTCTCCAAGTCAAACTCAGAGTCAATCTCAGATTATACCGCCCTCGCCTAGCCGTCCGGTCTGTAAGCACTATCAAAAGGTAGCACCCACCGTGGCCCAAGTGTTGTGCTGAGCTAACGTAGCTGCAGGGCATTTGCAGGTATGGAAGCACATGCATCAAGCTCCACATACAACCAAATCAACAAATATCTAAAAGCCCCGACGATACTACATCAATCTTTGACCGAGAAAATTCATCTCCATCCCGAACTCACGAATACTATGCAGCCAATCTGCCCACCACTACCGACCCATTCTATGGGACTCATGTGCCTATCAACAAGACTGGAGACCGCATTGATACCTACTGTGCCGCACCCTCGCCTGAAGCGCGGGACCAGTACTCTCGTCGTGCCAGATTCCACCGGCCTTGCAACAACTTTCACTTAGCCGGACACTGTGATACTTTAAACTGCGAATTTGACCATGGCCCCATCGATATCAGCAGCCGTAGTGTGATGGCCCACATTCTACGCCAGCACCCGTGTGGTGCCGGTCTCACTTGCCGATCAATGAAATGTTTCCTCGGCCATCACTGTCAGAAAGACGGATGCCGGGGCACCAAACCTTGCAGATTTAACAGGCATGCTCATATGCTGGACCTGCACATTGCCAAGTGGGTGCCAGCCTTGGAGAAAGAAGACGTTGTCGTATCCTCCGTGAGCGATGTATCAGAAGAAGCTAGTCCGGTCGACTCCGACAACACCTTCGCATATTCAACCAACGATACACTATCTTGAAGCGCTGAACGATCCATAAGGATCAGTGCACTGAGATTCGATACTATATCCGATACTGGAACGATCGTAATGGAGACATAGGTATTAACACTAAGATGGAATCACCAACTACGCCGCCTGCATTAGGTCGTTCTAGGGTCAATATGTAAACCAGAGTACCTCAGGTACATGGAGGTAATAATGCGATAGCCCACTTTTGAGCATTAATGAAATCGTTCCTCTGGATGTTTCCCACGTTATCTGACAGTCAAATGCCGACCTTCTACACGGACCATTAGGAGCCAATTTACCTTGAAACTGTGCCAGGCCTGGCTGACTTACAGACACTAACAAACCCAGGCTCCTGCTTTGCGGTGGGCTACAGACAGCAGCTCCCTTGGCGGCCCTGAAATCGCCTCCATGCAATATTCCCATGCAACGCTCAATGTATTCTCGCATAATATCCACCTGAACCCAGGTCGATATGTGACCCCGCAAGAACAATGTCTTTTTGATACTGGTGGATACTTCCCGCCCGCAGACAAAGCACTAAGTGTCTCGCGACCGCCTAAGTTAATCGTTCTTAGTGTTTCACTTTACCTGAGCACTTTCTTTTCAAATTTGAGGGAGTTTACCGGGCCACTGATTGTTCTTGACGCTTGATCGAGTTAGCCTACTTCTTTGAGTTCTGGCACTTTCGGCTGGAAGCCAACACTGGCTTGGCTTTGTGCTTTCATGCTGGATGACGTACCTCGTTTGCTCCAGGTCGCCATCAAAGAGCAGCGGCTGTGATCTCCGGGTTGCTAATGCTACAGAGCATTATGTCGTTCATAGGAGTTTCCTGACCCAGCCGGCTTTGGTCGTCACGATAAAGGAAACAGAACTTCACCAGCGCGGCCCACATTGGCATATTTCGTCGAACAGACAAAGCAATGCCGTCCTCTCGCCTCTTCCAACATGAGGGTTGGGATTATGTCGGGTCGACGTACTCCAATTCCTTTTCGAAGCAAAAGGTATAAAATGGACTCTAAATCACATAGACGAGGGTTTCTGAAGGCTCTAGCATCACAAGCTCTCATCTACGCTGCGGTATAGATTTCGCACGGTACACAACTTGCTCACTGCAAACGCTTGCCATCGTCACCACAGAAAAGACTTACAATGCCGTCCCAGCTTTCCAGCTTCCCCGAGATATGCCCCCGGTGCAAGAACCGGTACAACGTCCGGGTTCTGGCTGAGCTGTACCGCACCCAACGAGCACGACTGCCTGTCTCCGCATTCCCCAGCGCAGAGGCACAGGCCAACCCGGAGGAGTCATGCGAGCTGGCCCGCGATTTCCTGGATATTTTCAATCGCGCGGGATTTACGGACGAGGAAGTCTACCGCATCCTCGACCCCGACTCTGAGAGCGAGGACGATGGGCTGAGCGCTCTCACGCAAGAGATGCAAGACCTAGCTGTCACCCTTCCGACCCTCTGTGCCACCAAGCCGTCGAGAGACTCTCCCTGGCAATCGGTCGTGCAGCGCATGGCCTACAGTATCGTTGAGGACGTCCTGCCGCCAACCACCCTGCCCTCTTGCAAATGCAAAGCCTACTTGCTGACGCCGACTCGGCTGAGCTGCCTGGATCTGGCCCTGCTGACAGACTCCGTCGCGGCAATCGACTTCCTCTTCTCCGCGGGCCTCCACCCGACCACGGTGCTGCCCACCGGCTTCAACATCCTGGGTACCGCCATCCTGGCCGAGGCCACCCACATCGTAGCCTATATCTACGACGCCTTCTCTGTGCCTCCATTTTCCTGGGTCGGCAACGCACACACCACCTTCACCCCCGACCAACCGTCCCTCCACCCGCTCACTCTCGCCCTACGGATGCACAACATCCCCTTGTTCCAACTCATCCTCAGCCACGAGGCGCCGGGCGAACCGATCCCCGCGGAGATTCTGCTGTGGGCCGCCCAATACGGCGACGTAGAGATCGTGCGCGCGCTACACGAGCAAGCAGGCGTGGATTTCTTCGCCGACGACCAGCCCCATCGCATCGTGGGATGTCCTGGCCACAAAGTGCCCGGGGCAGTTGTCGAGTACAGAGGTGTAATGCCCATCGCGCGCATTCTGCTGCACTTCGCCGCGCGCAACACCGCCGCCGGTGCGCAAATGCTTCAGTGTTTGCTTGGCATGTTCCCGCCGGGAGACCTGCGCCTGCGCCGCCGCCTCCTCAACGCGCGGTCCTGGTACGGCACCACCCCGCTGATGGACGCCGTGCGCGCCGGCAACCACGCCGCTGTCCGCTACCTAGCAGACCCACAAACCACGTCTCTCGATGTCGTCAATCCGCTCGGCATGTCGGCGCTGTACCTCGCGGTGCAGCGGCTAGACATCCAAGCCGTCGAGACCTTGTTCGAGGCCGGCTGCGCTAACGGGAACGAGCCCGATGATAAAGACGGAAGGCCGGTCAAGCCCCCCTTCTATGCCATTATTGACGCGCATCGCCGGCCCTGCGTCGGACGATATAATCCCATGGAGTCGGAGGCGCATCTTGACAAGGTACTGGATGTGGCTAGGGTGTTGTTGTTGAACGGCACCGATCCCAGACTCAAGTGGGAGGAGAACGTGGAGGAAGGAGCGGAGGTCAAGACGGTGCTGGAGGAGGTGAAGACCGAGCCCGTGCTGGAGAAGTTGGCACGCCTGTTGTTGGAGGAGAAGGATTTCCCGCTGAGCGACATTTGAGCTACTGGCTTGGTCGCTTCGAGTGGGTTTAGACTCTCTTTGGAATAATATATATTAATCATTATAATTCAAGTCTTCCTTTTGTTTTTATTTTGTTTTTTGTTTTGTTTTGTTTTGGTTTTGGTTTTGGTTTTGGTTTTGGTTTTTTTTTTCTTTTCCTTTTCCCTACTTCTTTCTTTTGGAAGGATGATATATGTGCAAAATGTGTAAGTCTCGGTTTCCAGGGTTGTGATTCGGAGCTTTGGTTGTTCCTGGTGTTGAAGATACTGTAAGGTAAGCGCAAGACTCGATTGACAACTTTTTACCTTCGAGAGCTAACTTATCGTGATCATGATATAAGCGAAAGCAATCGATGATGCAAGAACTCCATGAATGGGCAGATGCGGGCTGCAGCCATGATGTCTCCGCATCGTGAAAGCTCTGAAGGTGCCGAATCAGCCTCAATACACGTTTGCCAGGTTGTTCACCGGGCTTACACACTAGGCCTACTTCTTCATCAACTTGGCTGGGGGCCAGAAGATTCGTTATCAAGTCTCTTTAATACTCCCGGACTTCGAACAGAATACTGGCCTGCTTAGGCGGCCGCCTGGTCTTATGTCTGAACGTGACATCGGCATTGGAAAACCTCAATTTGATTATTCTGCGACAAAATCGCCTTTTGACAAATACTTTACGATCGCCGAGTCACTCTCGACGGTGATCCCGCTCTATAGACCAGCTTTGTTCCACTCGACTGGATGGGAACTAGCAGCCAGTTGGGACTCGCCCAACCAAGCTTCGCTGACGAAGGTTATATCAGGCTGCTGCGATGGTGAGGCACCACCTCTATTCGTATCCAACGAGAGCCCCAGTATCCTCTGCTGAAGATCCCCTGGAACTCATGCGATCTGAGGGTGGAAAAGTGACAATGAGCGCTCGATAATGAGCCATACATTGGTTTGGCCATTGCTTTGATACTTAAGGGAGACATCCGTATAATCAGGGTCTGGTCAACGTGTCCGGAATCTCTCGAGGCGATGTTCACGAATCGATGAGGATTCTCGCTATGATTGTTTATCTGAAGTGAATGTACCATGGTACAAACTCAATGTGTCAGTGACTGCAGGGAATGAGAATCACAGCAACGCACATATATAAGAGGCGACATGATCAAATATGAAAACAACCCAAAGCCCCCATAGTTCTCGATCGATACATCCTTCGGAACATCCAACCCACCCTCATCAAACAAGACCAGCTTAAACACAAGACTATCAACCATGGACAACATCGACCGAGTCGAAAGCGCCCAATGGTGTGGACAATGTGGTCATCTCAGGAGGCCTTTTAGCATGGCTATGGAGTTCAGGCAGCTACGTAAACAACGCATGCCAGCGCTTCCCGATCCGGAGGGCATCCGGATTCTCAACGGGGCGAACCTGATCCCCTGTCTAATGGCCCTGTGCAAAGAAGCGGAGCTGGACCTGTCCCATCTAGAGCGTATGCTACGGCCGGACAACGACCGCGGCGTTGGGGCGCCAACCCTGCGGTCCATGATCCAACGACGCTTCTGCGCGGTACTGGCAGAAGGCTTCCAGAACTACCAGGTCTCTGCCGACGGGAAGCTGCTCCAATTCTGCTGCTACGCCGGGCACCAGCAGGCCCCCATAGGCCCTGGGTCGGGCCCCGCCGCTGCACCGCAGGTCGCCTTCCCCAACGTGGTGCACCACGCCCTCGCCCACGACTCGCTCGACGAGATCAAGCTGGCCGTCGCGTTGGGCCTGGAAGCCCACCGGCCCGTCTACTGGGGATATACCCTGCTGGGCGCGGCGATCCTGGCCCGAGCCCACAAGGTGATTCGGTATCTCTTTGAGCGGGACGATCGGTTTCCCGGGACGGCCAAGCCCCCCGCCGACCAGCGAGTCAACTGGATCGGGAGCGACTACTACGGGCCGCTCGAGCTGGCGCTCGTCTTGAAGGACAAGCAGCTCATCTGGCTGCTGCTGGAGCTCGTCGGAGGGGGCAACACGGACATCCTGGAGTGGCAGCACGTGGAAAACCTGTGCGTGGAGCACACGACCAGCGGCGTGATGCTCAAGTACCTGGTCACCCAGGTCGGAGTCGACCTGCTGGCGAGCGACGCCAACATCATCCACCAACCGGTGCAGCTCAAGCTGTCAGCGGAGCTGGCGGCGACCTGGGGCGACAACGCAGGCGAGTACCTGCTGCGGCGGGCGATCCGCCAGGACTGGGCGGTCTCCCGGGTGGTGATCGACCTGGTGCTGGGGCAGGCGCAAGCGTCCTGGACCCACACCCCGGCGACAGACGCGAACTATGCCAACCGGTGCTATCAGCTCCTCAACGACCCCATCGCCGGCCTCGACGAGGACCGTCCGCGGAACGCGATCCCGCTGATCGCATGGGCCACCACGTTCGACCACCGCTACGCCTTCGACGCGCTGCTCAAGCAGCCCGGGCTCGACCTGAACCGCGCGTTCGTCGCGCAGCCTGACGGCGACCACATGTACACGCCCCTGACCTTCGCCGTGCGCATGGGAGCCAGCTGGGCCGTCGACAAGCTGCTGAACCGGTCCGACTTGAACCTGCACCGCCACGGTCCCATGCCCTTTCGCTGGGCCAACGCCCTACCGAATACGCGCTACCCCAGCCCCTTTCGCGAGATTGTCGACCTCGTGGAGGACCGGGCCAGTCAATGGGTCCCCGGCACTAATCGCCAGGTTGGGCTGGACAACGCCATGGTCGCCTTGGGCAGGCGCTTCCGCATCATGGCCACCCTGTTCATCGGCAGGTTCAACCCCCAGGTTCACGTTGGGTGGCGTACGGGGGAGACCTTTCCGGAATGGGTACTGAGGAACCAGTTCGTAAGCATCTACCTTGATGGTGTGGTTCAACTCCTGCAGCAGCACGGGTACATTGCGTGATTGCCGCGTTGGACCTTGGACCCTTAGGGGAAGTGAGTAGATAATGGCTTAGCTGATAGTTATGTTTTAGATATCTCCATGTATCAGACTTAGTTCGATTTTTAACTTATAATAATGTACGTCATCAAAATGTATCCGGAGTCTCACCGCCTCCGGGCAGAATATCCTTTTTTTTTTACTCCAACGAATTCAAGCAATCGAAATTTATGTATGACTCGGTGTTGATTATACCCTTGTATATCGTATATCTCTCACATGGAGCAAGAAGCAAACCTCGAGTAAACTCGCAGCAAGACAAAAAATAAAAGCTCCCAGAACGCCAGCGCTCGTGTATATGCTTTCGACCCATGAATACTTTTCAAAAACGCAAATAGAGATAAGTGCACAAGAAGCATTATGCAAAGACAAAAAAATCATTTTTCCGTCAAGTAGAAATCCATCTCATCTTCAGTCCTGGTTCTCCTCGACCGCCTTCTCCAGGTCTTTGATCTTGTGCCGGCCAATCCGCAGCTTGCTGCGCATGTTCTTCTCCTTGATGAGCAGCGCGCGCTTGCGGCGGCGCGGGGGATAGTTGATGGGACTCTCGCCGCCGGTGAAGATGGCGAGATCGTAGACCATGGCGCCGAACAGCCCGCCGAAGATGTCGGCCACCCAGGGGCCCCAGACCCACCAGACGCTGTTCTCGGTGAAGACCTGGCCGCCCCAGCCGGCCATGAGGACGGTCAGGCGGGGGCCGAAGTCGCGGGGCGCGTTGAAGCAGCTGCATTGCCGGCACCGGGTTAGCTTGCTTGCTTACTATCTCACTGGTGGTGGACGTGCAGAAATGATCGTTGGGGATGGACTTACCCGCCGGTGTTGTAGCCCAAAGCCAGCAGCAGCACCGTGATCACGATGCCGATGATGAACGCCTGCATACCGGCGCCGGGCGGGGCGTTGGCGTCGTCGCCCAGCGCCAGGATGATGCCGACCAGGATGGCGCTGCCGAGGAACTCGTCGAAGAAGGCGGTCGCCGGCGTCACGAACGACTTGGGCCCCGTCAGCATCGCCTCGCTGGCGGTCGTCTGCGCCTGCGGCAGCTGGGATTTGACGGAGAGGTCGACGATCGCGTCGTGGTAGATCGCGTAGGCGATGCCGCCGGCGGTGATGGCCCCGAGGATCTGGGCGAGTACATACAGCGTGCACTTCCGCGCCGGGAAGCCACGCCACACGGACAGCGAGATGGTGATCGCCGGGTTGAGATGGGCGCCCGAGACACCACCGGCCATGTAGATCCCGATCATGAACGCGAACCCCCACGCCGCGCATTGCGAGACGTAGGTCCCCGCCTGCTCTTGGGAGGTGTAGTGCGACAGGCCGGCGCAGAGACCGAGGGTGATGGCTACACTTGTCTAAGGAGGTGAAAAGGTTAGCATCGCCAAGTTGATTCTCCGGGGGGAGGGCGGGGGGGCAAAATAATGAACTCACTCCTAGCCACTCTGCAAATGGCTCTTTCGCATAGAAGCGGATTTTCGACCAGATGTTGAAGAACCCATCATGGTCCGGGTCTTCTCCTTCTTGCTGGGATTCTTGGGTCTGAGGGATCCCGGTCGGTGGTTCCTCGGCGGCCGGGGGAGGGCGTGCTCGTCCATCCTCCCTCTCTTCCTCTTTGCGATCCTCCGGCAAGGCTCCGTAGCGCATGCCATCGCGGACCACGTGAGGGAGTGGTTGGGCGAGACTCCAGACTGGCTTGCCGGGCTCGTCTTTGCCGTATTGAGGGTTGAGGTTGTGGTACTCCGGGTGGATGTAGGGTCCGTAGGAGGGCGGCGCGCCCCAGAAGGCAGTGGATCCTGCTAACGAGAACCCTCCGGGAGGCTGGCTCCCTTGGGTCCGAGACCGGGAGACATCGTCTCGCAGGTCGCCGGTACGTTGAGTTCGTGCGGTAGCCTGCCGTGAGGCCGGGGGTCGCTTATTCGGGGGTCTTTCTCGGGGCAGCTGCGACTTTTCGTGGCTGTGAGAAGATTCGTCGTCCGAATCGGACGATTGAGATGATTGAGACGATTGGGATGGAAATTCCTCCGGATCCGTGTGAACTTCTACGGTGGCGTTAGCATTGTCGGGCGACTACAGTCCCAAGTGCATGCAGTAAGGGGACAGACCATCCACCTCTTTTTTGTGCGACTCGAGCGCGTTCGCCATGGAAGTTGATATTCGATTTAAAGCAACGAGAGCAAAACGACAAAGCAATTGGGAGGGCGATGTGAGATAGCAAGTGTACAATTAATTAAAGCCCGAAGGCCTTAAAGGACGGAATTATCAAGCGCAACCACTGGCCTTGCTCTTCAAAGAGCGACGGGGTTCCAAAGCGGGTCTTATATACTCGGTCAATATTGCGTCACGGAACAAAACGTCAGGATATTCGACGGGGAACGGCCAATTGACGATCTGCACCCACACTGATAAGATCCATCAGCGCCACAACCTGGAAACCTCTTTTTGAACACCAGAGCAGTACACAAGAATGCGGTACAATCCAGAGAACTTGATCACGGGTATACCCCGGCTTGTGTGGCGCACACATCGTAGGTAACTAACTCGAATGACAGAGTAGCTAAGTGGGCAGATTGCATGAATCATGGTGGCTGCCCTTCGTCATAACCAGCAAGCATCGGGCTGTTTTACCATCCAGTCGACTCGAGACGCAATGGTGGGTAAGCTGGCTGTAGGGCTCCAGTACCTGAAAATGCTTGTCGGGTGAGGGATCTACGGCGATGAAGAGCATCCATT